TAGACGAATCAGATCACTCTCCAGAATTTTTAAAAATAGGGTTAACAGATGCTGCTTTCCAGCAGACTGGAAAAAAAGATTCTGATAAGCACTTGTTAAATAGTTTTGAAAGGATAGACGACAGCTCCGGAGAACACTTCTGCAAGACTATAACAGGTATGTTGTCGGGGCCGTAAGCTGTAGAAGAGTCTAAGCAGGAAATCATTTTAGATATAGACGCTGGAGTGATACGGATGTCTAGCAGTGGATCAACCTGTTTGATGGCTATATCAGGTAAAATGCAACTAGCGTAATCAAGAGATGATGTTGATGAAAAGCTCTTGGCAAACAATTCAGCTTTGTCTTTAGGTGAGGTGACAAAGTCTAAACCATACAAAAGAGGTGCAATTACAGACTTGCCCTTATTATCGATACTATTAAAGATTCTCCAGAAGTCACGAGAACCTAATTTTTGTGATGAAATACGAGATTTCATGATCTGAGAATAGCGGACTTTGGCGTTAAACTAAACCTTTTTACAATGGTTCCTAGCAGTAATAAACAGACGTCTGTTTTCTGGAGAACTGTTTTGTTGATAGATATGGAAGTAATGGTTTCGATTAGCAATTGCAGCAGCATAATATGAGGAAAACCACGGAGAAGAGTGAGGCTTGACCTGCAATCGTCGAGAGGGAACAAAAGAATTCCATGCCAGCCTGAATCCACAAAGTTGTGTAAGAAGCACATTTGTCAACAGGAAGACAAAAGATTTCTCCTCAGGGGCCATCACGAAGAAAATCACGGAAAGAGTTTCAGTCAGCATTCAGGTAGTTGTAAGATGTACAATGATAGGGGTTTTCTGATCGTAAAGAAGAATGAGATAATAGTTTTAGAGAGACCAAACCATGATCAGAAGCACCTAAGGGTGAGTGTGGTGAAACTGAGTACTTACTAGGATTTGAAACAAGACATAAGTCGAGTAGAGGAGGTAAATGATTTGGGTTGTCTGGAAAGCGAGTTGGAAAGTTGACTGTTTGAGTTAGGGATTGAGAAAGGCAAAAGTTGTGGGCCTTAATGTCTGCGGAGTCACTGACACTAGAGCCAAGCCATTAAGTGTGATGAACATTAAAGTCATTGACAACAACAATATTGGCTGATGGATAAGGAATGAGGGCTAGGTCAATATAATCAAAATTAACATCAAGAAGAGTGCAGTCTTGAGATGAATGAGAGCGATATAGAACAAAGAGAAAGGTGATAGAGTGAAGTGGTGCTAAACTGTGGGTTCAAACCTAGTTTCCCGACAAATGGGTGAATTCTTACGAATGCAAATGCCTAGGCCAAGCATGTGACTATTGGAGTCTTTTTGAATTAAAGGAAGATAACCATCAACACTAAGATCACAAGATGAGACAGCTGAACTCAAATTAGTCTCACAAAGAGCAAATAGGTCTGGTGAACTTTGCAAGAGATAAGACTCAACCAAAGAATAGTTACTTCGAAGACCACGAATATTGGTGAATGATAGATTTAGAGAACTTGGTGATGACTGTGGTTTTTTGTGTTTTATATATTTTTTTACTTTATTCATTTTTAAATTTGTTAAAGAACTTGACTCGAAACGTAGATAGGACTCAGTACACTGTTTTATAGCCCAAGCAATTGCCTCATTTCCTCTAATAAACCCTAAGCCGTAACAAAGGGCTCCAATGTGACCTTGGCAATGCACACCAAAAGTACAAACAGGGACACCATCCATGCGCAACATGGCACTGTTAGTACTATGGTATTTTTCAGCTGTTGATGGAATCAGCCTCTCTGAGAGCTACCACAGAGTTTGGGAAACCTGACTACCAGCCGACTGCAGAACCATAAAACTGAGTTTTAGAGCTGTACCCTCATTTGGAGATAATAAAATGAGTTGCCTAGTCATAAAAACAGAGACACAAGCAAAACCCATGCATCGAGGCAAGAAGATCCAGCGTTCAACATCCTAAATTAGAAACAATGTATTAAAAATACATCTGCGCCAGCCTAATAGATGGAGAAGGGGTGCAAGGCTGGTCAACAGATTGAATCTGTTTACCCCTTAGGTCTTTGCCTAGGAGGCCTTTTACAAGACAGCAGCCAGATGCATTTAACATCTGCCCAAGATGAGTATTTTTATCGAGACACCATCTCTAGCCTTAACTCAACCAAGAGCCCTAAGGCAGGGGGTGTTTTATGTCGGAATATATATATATAGGGGATGTTTTATGTTGGAATATATATATATATATATATATATATATATATATATATATATATATATATATATATATATATATATATATATATATATATATATATATATATATATATATATATATATATATATATATATATATATATATATATATATATATATATATATATTATATATATATATATATATATATGTACAGGGGTCCAAATAAGTGCCGGACATTGCCCCTCAGACCATTTTTGAGACCTGCTATATGAGGGCAACCAACCATTGTTCATTTTTACTGAAAAAATGAACAATGGTTTGTTGTCCTCATCTAGCAGGTCTCAAAAATGGTCTGAGGGGCGGCGATGTCCGGCACTTATTTCGACCCCTGTATGTGTATATATATATATATATATATATATATATATATATATATATATATATATATATATATATAGCGCACATTTTTCAACCTAGGAGCGTAAAAATAATATTAGGAAATTGACATTTTAGGTATAAATCATTTGCGATATATAAATATATATATATATATATATATATAAATATATATATATATATATATATATATATATATATATATATATATATATATGTATATATATATATATATATATATATATATATATATATATATATATATATATATATATATATATATATATATATATATATTTAATTTAAAATACATTATATACGGTGACATACTATTTATTTAACTATTAGAATTTTTGAATTTTTCAATGTGATTATTCGGCTCATATAGTTGGAGGCATTTTCAAACTAATACATTATGAAAAAATTCGTTATTTACAAAAATGATATCATTGCTGCATAATATTATAAAAGTTTTTCTTAAATTTAACAAAAAATGGTTTCCAATGGTGAGTCGTCACTAAGTTGCCATTATCTCAGTTTAGAATTTTAATTTTTAGATAGCAACATTGCAATCTGTCTATTTCAATTGCCTCCCTGATTTTTCTCGTATAATTATTGGGATGACTAAAAGTATTTTTGGATTATTCCAATTAATTATACCTTTGCAATGTTGTGCATGTTTAACAATTCCAGACGCTTTCCAGTTTGCTTTAGTCACGTTTTTTTGATGTTCAGCTATTTGTGTTTTTATCTTTTTTCTGGTTTCACCCACATAAAAAGCGCCACATGTACATTCAAGTTGGTAAACACCCGGCTAACTGTTTGGTGGTAGCTTTGATTTATTTTGGCATAATATATTCGATAAAGATCTTCCAAAACGATAAACTGATTTTATGCCAACTTTTCGAAACTCGCGTCTAAGAATAAGGCTTAATTTAGGAGCCCATGGAAGTATTATGGTATTATTTGTGTTAATTTGTTGGCAAATTTTTGTTTGGGATGGTTTGTAATGTTTTACAATTTCTAGAAGTTGTTGCTGAGAATATCCATTTTCCATAAAAATATTAATTAGGAACTCAATTTCTTTTTCTATATTATCACTAGTGCATAAATTATAAGCTCTTGCAAGAAAACCTTTAAATATTCCTATTGCAATATATAGTGATATACAAGACTGTGGTTTTACAAGTACATTCGTTATTGCATTCTTGCGGTATATAGAACAGTTGTATTTATGAGTTATATGATTAGTTGAAATGCAGATGTCTAAGAAATTAAGTTGATCTTGATTATTTGCATGTGTATTGAATAGCTTTGTCTTGAGAATTTAAAAGTGTCAAAAACCATTTTGCTTTATCAGAGTTAGAAAAACGTGCATGGTAATTATCAACATATCGTTTAAATGTTATTGGTGCAACATTAATGGTTAATGCTTGTTGAATTCCATTATATTTAATATGTTGTAAGTAAGCTTCTGAAATTACTACCATTATGGATAATCCCATCGGACCAGAGTTTTTTAAAATATAAATTTTTTTATCCCACAAAAAATAGCATTTACTTAGACAAAGTTCAATTAATTTATGGATGTCAGTTAAAGATAATTTAGTGCGCAGCTGAAGATCATCTTTATCGTTATTTAAAATATCAATAATAGCTAAAACTGCTTTATCAAGTAGACGGATACAAATTTATTACGTCAAATGATACCTGAACCTCATTCTCTTCAATTGTCCATTCTTTTATTTCCAATACAAAAGATGGTGAATTTTTTACTCTATACTGGTTTTTGATAAGTGTAGTTTGTATAAGTTGAACAAGATGCTGCGATGATTTATGTGGGGGTGTACCAACGGTTGAGACTATAATTCGCATTGAGTAATCTTAATCCCTTTTATGAGCTTAAATGCAGCCGTATAATCGAGGTGGTATAGCATCAGAAAGATAAATACTGTTGTATATTTTATTATCTATTCTTTTATCTTTTTTTAGTTTACTTAGTGTTTGTTGAATAAGACAAAAAAAACTGATTAGTGGGATCAATATCTGAAATTGTACAGTTACAAAGTTGTTCTTGAATTTTACCTATAACTGAATGTGAGTCTAAAACAACAAACCCATTTGTTGTTTTAGACTAAAAAAACTTTAGTAGTTAAATAAATAGTATGCCACCGTATATGATGTATTTTCAATTTTATATATAAAATTCATCATACTATTAAGGTGTCATTAAAAAATATATATATATATATATATATATATATATATATATATATATATATATATATATATATATATATATATATATATATATATTGTTTGCAATTTAGTAACATATTTTACAAACTTTATTTTCAAAATGGTGACTTTTAAATATTGAAAATTTTGTATGTAGGTAATGATGACAATGAAACAACAGAATCACATGTTTTATTCTGTGGATCTAAAGATTCTGTAATTTATTGAGTATTTTTTTATAGTTATTTTTTATTCTTACTTTTATGTTTTTTTGAATTTTTATTTTTAATGTGTAATTTTAAAATATAAATGTTAATTTTAATTAAAAGTTTCTATAATAAGCCTTTTTCCTCAAGTAATGGTTTGTATTCAATTAATAAACACTTTAAACTATTTATTTATCATTATAAATTATTTGAATAATTATAACTTAAAAAGTTCAAACGGCTTTGCTGGTAGTAAATGAGTGTAAGAGCTATGAGATGAAAACTGACTATTTTGCACTAACGGACCGGGTGCTAGATTTTAAGAGAAATAACTCCCTTATAAAATAAAAAGGAACAAAATTTTTGAATTTTCATTCTAGTATTTATGCAATTTAATCCTTCTGACATTACTTACTATTATAAACTAATCTCTGTAAAAGCTCAGTTTTTTACTTTTATCTTAAAATGTAGTTTTATAGAATTTAAAATGATGCTAGATCAATTCTCAGAAAAATTAATCAATAGAAATAATTGTTTGTTTGGTATTTATTGTAGATTAATTATGTTTTACATTGCTAGCTTAAAATATATACTAATTGATACTAAGATAATTTAACATAAAACAATACGCATAGTTAATGATTGGTATTTAATTTTTAAATTTTTGATACAGTTGCAGACCTTGACGGGAATAAATGAGTCCGAGAGGAGAAAAAAATGCTCTCCTTAAAGAAACATGGTGAGCCATTCAAGTTAATCCTCTAACAGCTTAGGCTGGGTAAATAAAATAAAGCAATTGCTTTTACTGAAAATTTGAGCTAAATTGCTCAAATTTATATTCACATAAAGCGAAGCAACTTACTCCAAAAATGCTAAGTAGATGCTCAGCATTACGTGAACAAAAATTTGAGCAAAACTGTTAAAACTTTTATTTACGTAAAGCTGAGCAATTACTCCAAAAATGCTGAGTAAAAGCAAATGCTTTTTTTTTCACTTAGTTTCTTTTTATGAGAGCTTTAAGTTTCTGCACAGGCTATTTGCTTATTCATTAAATAAATTACTTATTAAATACAAAATTTGATTTATTCTCTTGTTACAAGCATGTGCACAGTAGGCCAGGTGGTGGACAAATGTAAAAAAAATGCATTATCAAAAATTACATTATTATATACTATTTTATAGCTTATACATTCAACTTTTCTAAAATTTATATATTTTTGTATAATTTTGTATTCTTTATGCTTCTGAGCTGTAGAATAAAAAGTTTTTTTAACTTGATTTTTATGTTACTAATAAGCATAAAATGGATGTTAACTTTAAAACCTATCTTTTATTGCATAATTGAATTAAATCAAGTATTATCTTTCAAATGAGTTATTACAACATTATATGTCAAATAAAATGGTTTCAAATGATGGGGTATTTAAAGTACTTTTTTTAATCAAAACTTCACTTATATAGTCAAATAATTTTGTGGTCTAAAGCCGTCCAGTAATTTGAAACTTGAAATACATTGTTCAATATGTATACTATTAATATAAGTTTGTTTTATAATCCGCGGATGGCCGCCTGGTATCTATTAATGTTTGCTAGTTAACCTGTGAAAAAAAGATAGCTAGTTGACGCAAGACGTTTTTAAAATGTCTAAAACATGTATTACTATGTATTTTATATGTCTTTAATTCTCACGTGTTTTTTTCCCATAAGTAGTGACTAGCTAGTTGCTAGCTTATCTCCCACCGAGAAAATGATGTATCCGATTTTATGTGGCAAAAACATTATATGTATTTTATTCTAAATGGTTATGTAATAATTGGGTCTCAGCAAGACTAGATTAGTGTTACAAACTTGTTTATTAATTATAAATTCTAAATTACCTATTTCTAAAATAAAATAAAATTTATACTTTTGTATAGTTAAAACATGAAAAGTATTGATATATATTCATATATAATACAAGAAAACCTAAAGTTAGCTAATCCTAATATTTTATATAAACAAAAAGGTTAAAACTCAGAGTTTCTTTTTATATGGATTATGTATTAGTTTCATGAAATATAAAATAGAACTTTGAAACTGCATAAAAATACTTAAAATTAGTAATTGAGAATATGTTGAAAAAAAAACAAACCATAGTACCACATTTGTAGTATCAAAATAATCAATGTTGTAATTATGGGAGAAATCCAATAAAGTTATTACTTTTTTTACTTTATATTTGTTAAGATAATAAAATGTGTGGTTGCTAAGCAATTTAGGTATCCATAGCAACCCAAAGTTAAAAATAATGTCACCATTAAAACCGCAATCCTCAAAGTAATAAACAGTGCAAAAATGGTTCTTAAATCTTTTTTATAAGACAAGTTATTAGTTTTGTCCAGTAAAAGTGATTTCTGGCCCACTGTGATGTGTTTGTAACATTAATCTTTAACGAGAATATAAACAGAAAGAGTGTCGTTTATTACAGGACGAAAAAATTCTATAGGCGAGCATTTTTTTTGGGTTTTCACACTAACAATCAATTTATTTATTAACAACTTCACTTACTTGATAATTTGACAAAAAACTGTAAAAATTGTTACTACCAGGGGTGTGGAGTCATAAAAAAAAGTAACGACTCCGACTCCAGTTGTTGAAATTTTTTGAGTACAACTCCAACTCCAACTCCGACTCTAACTCCAAAGCAAAATTTTTGAAAAATTCTTTGAATTCTTTAAAAAATTTTGCGTGATAAGTTAAAATTTTTTTTTTGACAAATTTATGCAACGTTCTTTAAGGTTTAGTATGAACATAAGGTTAATTGAATGTTTTGTACATGCACGTGCAATACCAAGAAATATTACTATCAGAGTCGGAGTTGCAATATTTTTTAGCGACTCCAAATCCGACTCCGACTCCACAGCCCTGGTTACTACTTATAAAAAATATTTTATATTTTCTCACTGTAATATTATAGCAGCTAAAGATTCCACAATAAAAGTATTTATACAATTACATTATTTAAAATTTGTGCAAACTGAATTTTAAATAATAACTTTAATAGGAAGACAGCATTGACTAAGAAAAAGTTTTAGGGAAAAAATCTCTCTGCACTGCATATTTGTGTTTGAAAATAAAAAAATATACATTTTTTTACTAATTTAGTATAATTTTGTATTATAATTATTTAATAAATATATTCACATTTATAATACTAAAATTCTGCTTTACCAAATACAAAACAATCGTTGTAGTATAAAATAACCTATATTATAAAGTCGACAAATTATTAGCCATTTGTATAGTTAAAATATAATCTCAAGCACTACGAAAAAAAATCAGTGACTGTTATACAAAAAATCATAAACAATTGCATTTTGTAAGCAAAAAAAGTCAATCTGAAACTCAAACTTTGTTTTTTTTGTTCAATGTAGTTTGTACAACAATTTTTAATTTTTCTAATCATTAACTAAAATTTAATAAAAAATAAAGTGGTTTATGTTTATGAAAAAATTAAACTTTTGCGAGAGCTGTAAATTGCTTTCTTAAACCATTTTAGTGAGTTTAGGCAAAAGCAAAAGCTAATGCTTTTACTTTTTGGTTTCCAGAAATAACACATTTAACTATAAGATGGATCTCAGCAGGTTTAACTATTATATAGATGGCACTTATAGGTATATTCTTGACTTGAACATGTCTGTAATTTAAGTAAAATTCGTACACAATTTCTAATCTCTTTTGGTTTTAAATTTAATTTTTTATCCATTTTTAAAAAAAAAAATAAAAAAATATTTATAAACAAGAATAAAAATGCATTCTAAATAATTTTCCTTTTATTTTACCTTACTATTTTAAAGGAGTTTTATTTCATTTTGTGTTCTGTTATATATACTAGTTTCTGTTCGATAATTTCAGCTTAAGTTTGTATCCACAGTCTCTAATTTAGTTTACTCAAGACACTCAACATAAAAATAAGTAACAGATACTCATGCTTACTCAGGACACCCAACATAAAAATTAGTAACAGATACTCAGGCTTACTTAGGACACTTAACATAAAAATAAGTAACAGATACTCAGGCTTACTCAGGATACTCAGCATAAAAATAAGTAACAGATACTCAGGGCCAAATAAGTAATTGTACTCAGGCTCTCGTAAAAGTAAGTAAGTAAAAGTCTAGAGACAAAATCTTAACAAATAAGTTTTTAAAATTTTGGGTTATAAATATCAACAGGAATAAAATATGTTTTTATACTTGATAAATACAAAATTATATAAACAATTGTTTTCTAAAATTTTTTAATCCTAAAGAAAGACAAAAATTAAACTTTGATTGAGTTTGAGATTTTTATTTATTGTAAATATATATTGCAAATATTACAAATTCATAATTTTAATATAAATTATATTGCCACATATTATTATGACTGACTACAATCTTTTTTTAAAAGTTTTTATGTATAACCAACTAACCCAAAATTTAATCCCAATGTTCTATAAAATTTTTTTAAATATAATATTTTTATTTTTTTTTTATTTATGCAAACATTCTCATACTTTTGTTTGTATGACTTTATTTTACAAGTTTTGTTTGTATGACTTTATTTTACAAGTTTTGTTTGTATGACTTTATTTTACAAGTTTTGTTTGTATGACTTTATTTTACAAGTTTTGTTTGTATGACTTTATTTTACAAGTTTTGTTTGTATGACTTTATTTTACAAGTTTTGTTTGTATGACTTTATTTTACAAGTTTTGTTTGTATGACTTTATTTTACAAGTTTTGTTTGTATGACTTTATTTTGTGATTTTATCATTAAATAAATCTTAAAAACTATTTAAAAAGAATAAATGTAAATTTGTTTTATATAATAGAAAGAAATATAAATAAAACTAATTATAGCCTTGTTTTTATTATTTGAGTAAGAAAGATAAAAAATTAAAGAAAAAAAAAATGCATTTTTCGAAATTTTCTAAGCTATATTTGATTCTGTTTTGTTGAATACATGTTAAATTATATGAAAATCTTGTATACAATTAGTTTCTGAAGTTATTATTAATTAAACTTAAATAGTCTGTGTTTATAAAATTTAATATATACAATTGTGAGTTCATATATATGAACTCAAAATATAAATGGAAGATATATTTTATGTGGAACACAAATGTTTTCAGGATAAAAAATTATTTTATTTTCATAAAAGTGTCAAATATAATTAGTCTACAATTTATTTAAAAACATTTGTAGTTAAATGCGGAATACCCTATTATGCCCCATATTTCATACCCCATTATGACCCATTGGTAGTGTATTGCTAAAGACAGTACCACATCTAAATAATGTTCACACATTTCAAAATTCAAAATTTTTGATAATACCAAGTTTTATCTAAGTTAAATGTAATATAAAATAATACAATGTTAAATAAAATAATAAAATGCAACAGTTTCCCCAACATGCTTAAACTAGTTTCTTGGCTTCTTTTATAACTCCACCTACAGTCTTTTTACTAGTTTATTATTATTCTCCACCTGTTCAAAATTCTTTTTAATAATCATTTAAATCCTAGTCCTAAGCTGGAGTCTGAAGCAATTCTACTTAAATTTTTGCATGGTTTAACATATGAAAAATCAACCAACCAACAAAGAATAATTCGTTATGACAGAATCAGTAATAATCTAATCTTTTTTAGTTACAACTTCCTTTGCAATTCTGAAATCAGTTAAAATTGTTGAAGAAGATAGATGAAAGTGCTCAAAGTTAAATAAATCATCTCTTAAAATAGCCATAACAGCTATCACTATTATTTTTGAAATTTTTTTAATCATAATTTTTTTATGTTAGTGGTAGTTTGCAGATTTGCAAGCAATATAACTGCAGTTGTATGCGCTTGAGAGTTTGCGGCTAAAAAATAAAAATCTTAAGTTAGTAGTGAATCATTAAGATAGATTGCAGTCATGAAATATATTTTTTTATAATTTTTTATTTTAGTAAATATTAGTTATAAATAATTTTAAAGAGTTCTTAAAAGTTTTTTGTTTAGTTTTTTGTTAAAAAGTTCTTTTAATTAAAATAAATATGATACTAATTATGTTTAGACACATTGTTATAACCATTAAAATAGTAAAATTTTTAAAGTGAATTTTATTTTTAGGGAAAGACAACCATTATACAAAAGTTCATAGAGAAGTAGGGTTATATGTTTTTAATGTCAATTTATTATACAAATTTTTAAAATTGTATTTCTTTTAATTTGAAACTATGGTTATGCGTTATGGTTATGTGTTATAAATTATGGTTAAGGTTATGAATTATGGTTATGCATTACTAGTGATGTAGCGCATTGTTTCCAAAACTCACCTTTTAATGAATTTATAGTATTGTGTATTTTATCTTTTTAAAAATGGTTTGTTACAGTAAACAAAACATGAGGTTTTATTTACTTGTCTTGATAAGAAGCCAATACTCACTGATTGCTTGGTGGAGGCATTGAGCTTGAAGAGGATCCCATGTCTGCTACAGCATGGGGTTCTCAGTGGCTGATGAACTTTAACTCATAAATTTCAATTTTTTCAGATAGTCATTATTCCAATAAACTAGATCTTCCTATAATTATGAATGGTAATTTAGTCGATGATTCATCTAGGATTTTAACTCTTAGTTCTAATTATGCAAAATATCAATAATATATCAAATAGTTATTGTAAAATAACTATTTGATATATTATTGAACCCTCCTAGGGTTGCATTTCTTTATTTTGCTTGCCATTTTCTTACTCTAAATTCTAATTTTTATCTCTATATATCTCTAACTCTTCCTTGTATCAAGTAAAGTTGCCGTATCTTCGAATGGTACTCTTTCTATTTAAGGCATGGTGCAAAAACGCATTATAAACAAAGTTGGACCTGCTCTTGCAGTCAACCTTCAATGGTTATCACAATGGTTGAAACTTGGTTGTAATGTTGCTTTTGCTTTCTCTTTTTCGTAAATAATATAATTTTCGCTGCTCTAAAGAGATAGTCTCTTGTGGTATCTATTAAAATTTATTCTCTTGTTACTTGTCACTCAGTTAAGTCTCATCCTTTTACTGTAACTGTTCCTAAGTGCTCCAAAAGTCTTTTTTTGTCTAGTTTTTTTCTTCAAACATCAGTTTTTTGGAGTTTGCTACCTTCATCTTGTTTTCCTGATTCATATAATTTGCAATCTTTTCTGTCATCTAATAATTGTTTTCTTGCTTTATAAATTTCATATTTTTTCTTCCAGTAACTTCCAAATCTAATACTACTTGCTTGCAGCCTTGTTGGAGGTAAAGATGTTTAAAAAAAAGACACACAAAAATTAAATTTAATTCTATCTATTAAAGTTCAAGATTATAAGACAAATGTATGATATTAGTAATTCTACAAAAGTGTGATATTAAGATTGATGTTTAAAATTGTATAGGTGATTACTCTATTCTAGAGATGATTCAGTGAAGCCGACTGTTGCATTGGATTATTGTATCTTCAGACGTGCAAGACAGAACAGCACGGTAATGTTTTAATGCAAATTCAACTTGACAGCTTTTTATATTTTATTAATAACAAGGTAAGAGAGTTAATGAACTTATATGTAATAAATTATATGTTAATAAAATTATATGATTACTTTTTTTTAATTTTAGTTTTTCAATTTATAGACTTCTAATCGAGATATTGTGCATGTTTGGGAACTGGCTGGTGGTTCTTCTACAGTAAAAATGATTGATATAATTATCAAACCTGATAATATTTTGTAATTAAAGTTAATAAGTTTGTTTATCAACATATATATATATATATATATATATATATATATATATATATATATATATATATATATATATATATATATATATATATATATATATATATATAAACTTACAGTTTCATGCTTAAAGGTAATCATCAGCTGCAAATACAAAAAAAATTGTACACAAAATGTTACCAAAATGTAAAATTACTATAAAATGAGTACTGAACTCACTCTATAATAGTTTTATGTTTTTGTAACAATGCGACAAATCATGACTGAAAAATCCAAAAACATTATTGCTCCTATATTTAAATGTTGGCATTTGATACTTAGAGTTACGTCTTTTCACTTTATGGATGTCTCACATACTTGATAACATCGCTACTAAACATGCAAAACTTTGATTTGTCACTAAATAAAACTTATGACTATTTTTTCTTTTGACTATTTTTTCTGTCCACAAGTTACTTTTGAGTTAAGCAACTCAAATGAAACTTTATTAGTAAAAAATTACTTTAATAGTAAAAGTAATTTTTTGGCATGGCGACTAAATAAATTATACTGATGCAGGCTATGTTGTACTACGCTCAACTTGACATTTTGCCTAAAATATTTTAGTTATTTAATTTGACAGCAATTTTTCAAAAATCATGTTTTTATTCCTTACTTTTATCTATCTATTTTTTTATTTGTTATGGTATTTATTTGATGTTAACTAAATTTTTTCAATAATGCAGAACGCTTACATTAGTAATGGTTTTGGATTTATCAAGCCCTGCAGAGATATGGCAAGTACAGCATGTTCTTATTTCCCAAGTAAGTTTTTAGAAATTATTTATCTCATTAACACTTTAAGTTTATAAGCTTTCAAAAAACATGCAAACTTTTATGTATAAAATTGTAAATTATAAAAGTATAAATATTTAATGTATAAAATTATAATTTATAAAAGTATAAATATTTAAATTGGTTGGAATTTTTATGATTTTTAGATAAAACAGCGAATCAAAAATGTCATTACAGAACTTGCTAAAGTTAATTCAAAGTATGAAATTATTTTATTCATTTGCGTTATTTATGTTTTTTCTTTCTATTTTTTCATATTCATCTAGTGGCATAGAAGGTTATTACCACTGTGGACCAGAGAGCATTTTTGTTTGATGGAGTGTTACCTGGGATTTTTTGATGGAGTGTCACTTGAATTTTTTGATGGAGTCTCACCTGGGATTTTAGGTTTGATGGAGTGTCACCTGGATGAAGTATCACCACAATGATAAATTGTTGTTATCATTACAGTAACATGATTTAATCATAATTAAAATTAGTTTCACTTGCTAAGAAAGTAAAATTGTTAAATCAATTTTCACATAAAATGTGCAAAGGAATAAAATTAAATTGCGTTCCAAATTTTACATAGAAGAACTCTATAATTTGCCAGATAATCATTTAAACTAAATTTTAAATTTACTTAAAAAAGTTACTGTTGCAAATTTAGTATACTAGACTACTAAGTGAAGTGTTTTAATAAAAAACATAAGAGCGTTTCCCCGTTAATAAAAATTGTCTAGATATTACCCTTTACCTAATGTTATAATATTCAATAGATAAAAATACCAAATATATTATGTCTGGAAATAGTTTCTTACGTTATTTGGTTTGTGTAGTGTGTAGGGTTGAAAAAAGTGCTAGATCAAAGTCACTATTTATAAGTCACCACCCAAATACAAGATATGATCATGCTCTACATATATGATGGTTATTATAAAAGTATTAGAACTTTTCCTAATGTCATATGTAGTAATTGTAAACGAAATTTATACCTTCTTAAGTCTTGCCATACTTCAAGAGGATTATGAGGAGTTCAAGTTGCTAAGGTATTTTATATACTAATACTTTGTGTTTAAATCAATTTGTTTTATACTAATACTGTAGTAAAGTATAAATAACAAAGGACTATCCATATAGAACATCCACAAAAAAGTTTAAGCCTTCTAAAATAACATTGAAATAGTATAACATTTAAACAAAGTCTTAATGTTAAAATGTATGATATTTAAATGTTGTGTAAAAAAGTTAAATCTTTTTTATGTAACATTGAAATAATATACATTTAAACATTATTATAGACTATAAGGATTGCTTTATTGGTGGCAGTAAATACAACAAATGATTATATACAATATATATTTAGATATATAACATAACTAAAACAAATTGTTGCAAACAAATCTCTTAGCATAATTATTTGTTAAGTTGTAAATAAATTTAACAGTACAGGAGAGTTCGTGTTTTGGCTGGACATGATCTCTGCTCATTATGCAAAAAGCGTGGTAAGTTACCTAAATGAGCAAAGAGTCAATTTTGTAACAAGATCAATCAATCTTGCAAATGTTCCTAAAGCATGGCCAATAGAAGACTTTTGAGGAAACTTGAAAAATAAAGTTTATAAAAGCGATTTGACAGCAAAGAATCTTGATGAGTTAAAATCTAGAATTATCTACTGTTTTGGCAAAATAGATCTTGAGTTTGTGCAAAACCATATTTTGGGTGTTAGGAAAAGAGTTGATCATATAAGAAGACATTGTGTCTAATTTTTTTTTTCTCATCAAATACTTAAATAAGACATTTTTTTATTATTATTTTTAAGTTTTGTGTTTTAAATAAAAAATTTTGTTCCGAAAATAAGGCTTTTATTCCAGTCCAAAAACTTGTTCATAACCTGTTAATAGTATTTTACCAAACTACTGATTTAGTTATCTGTCAATAATAAACAGTGTTGCATGTTTATAAAAGTTATTGTAAAATGTGGTTACTTTCAGCAGTGGTGTAACTTCAGAAAAAAAAATTGTGTAAAACTCTAGTGTTAAAAGATTTTTTTCTTATTTTTTAAAAATAATAGAATTTCTTAAATGTTGACTAAGTTTAATTAACAGAACAACATATAAAATATAATGGATTATAAGCAAAGAACTAATCTGATCAACATTAAAGGCTTTTTTTTTATTTCACTGGTAAGCTTTAGTTTCATATATATATATATATATATATATATATATATATATATATATATATATATATATATATATATATATATATATATATATATATATATATATATATATATATATATATATATATTATTATATATATATATATATTATTATATATATAATAATACTGGTATACTTTACTTTCATATATATATATTTTTGTTTCATTGGTAAATTTTAGCTTCATATATATATTATTTGGTCATCCGACAAGTTTGAATGAATTTGATAAAAATGTTGTGAAACATGACAGTCAGTGATTATGAAACATGTAGAGTCAGTTAGAGGCGCTTCCCATGTACTTCCTTTGATTTGAGAGTAGTTTTAAAACATTATTTAAATATCTCTGGAGTAAATGTACCCTGTTTTAAAAACATTACTTGAATGGTCAATTGGATTTTTGGCTCATCACAAAAACAGTCTTTTGTCAACAATTTTGTCAAAATATTAAAAGTGTTTGTGGGGAAGTAGAGCTTTAATTAATAAATATTTTAATAATTTAAAACAGTTATTAAAAGTTGAAAATATCTCAAGGATTTTTATAATTATAAGATGGAGCAATTACCCAGAGTGAGTTAAAGACAGTGAAAGGCATGTTTATAATGTTTTGTGGTTCAGCAGCAAAAAACATTCTGCCTTCTTATGTAGTGCAAATCTCAAAATTTATGAAATTGGTGGACAGAAGGTGGCTTAAGATATAACAGAACAAAACCTGGTTGGTTTAATGCTGTGACATTTTCGGATTGGTTTGAGAATTCTTTTTTGCCATATATTATGCATTTTCCTACTGGTAAATTTGTAATTATAGGTGATAATTTAGTTAGTCATTATACCAAAAGAGTTATATACTTATTACTGAAAAAAATTTTTACTTTGAATACCTACCAAAAAATTCAAATGTCAGCCATTGAAAGACCATTGAAAATGTAATAAAGATCAATTAATATAATATTAAATGAATATATATTTATATATATGTATATATATATATATATATATATATATATATATATATATATATATATATATATATATATATATATATATATATATATATATATATATATTCATTTCGATAGTAAAGTCTCAAGTATGTGGTTTGTAAAAAAAAAAAAAACTCTTCAACAATAAAATCAAGAAAACTTTACATATAAACCATTCAACCATTAAATTATTTGAGGAAACTAATTAATTTTTATTTTTTAAAAAAAACAACACAAAAACAATTTTGTTAAACTAGAACCTTGTTTGGCACTATTGCTATTGCAATACAAATAGTCAGTGTTTTAATATTGCTATTGCAATACAAATAGTCAGTGTTTTGATATACATTTTGAGACTTAAAATTTTGATCTTAATTTGAATGTCGAACACTATTTTTTCTTGTTTTTGTCTTTAAAAAAAACATGTTTTCTTGTCTAAACGCCAATAGCCTTGTTTAATAGGACACAGTGAGATTCTTATTTTTTTTTTAAAGATAAAATTTAAGCTGTATTCTTATCTAAAATTAAAAAGTGTATTCTTATGTGAAACTAAATTTCAAGGTAGGTTTGTGATGGACAACTTTTGGATTAGAAAACATCTTGATATTCAAATTTTTATATTTAGACATTATTAAAATGAAATAAAATAAAATTCTTATTAAATAAATATAAACTGTTTTTGTGTTCTAGACTCTCCTTAAGAGTGAAGTGATGAATGAATTTTAAAATAAATTTTGAAAATTGTAACTGGCGGTGGTGTAGTGGTAAAGTGCTCTCTTCATAACCGAGAGGTTCTAAGTTCAATCCCCACCACGTCCGTGGTAGTACAGCATTTAACTTTTTTCTTTATGTAGCAGCCTTGTTTGTCAAAGTTTTTGTTTAGGAGTTAAAGAGTTAAGAGAGGGTTGTCACCACAATTATGTAGCCTCTTTGTTCCTCTTCTTGGCCTTAGGAAAAGTAAATTAACATTTAAAAAAAACTGTTTTTATTTAATTTATTACATTAAAAAAAAACTGTTTTTATTATTTATGTCAAAAGCTAAGCCTAGACATTCATCCACCACTAGAAATTCAGAGTTTATTGGACCTGGATTTTATTCCTAGTGAGCTGCATACAAAGCTAAAATGATTGCTGAAGGTGTTTATTTTTTGCTAAAACAACATAATCTTACTAAATCATATTTAATACTTGGAGCAGATAGTACTTTAATTAACACAGGCAGGAAAAGATTAACACAGCAGTTAAGATAGGTGTGCTGCCACCAAATCTAAGAGAAATTTATTGTGCCCATTAAGTCATGCCAGATAGCTTACTACTGGTATGAGAATAGTCTTAGTGTGGACAAGAAACATGGCTTCACTGAGCAGAATTTAAAAAATCTACTTGTTTTTTTTTGTTTATGATTTTACTTGAAAATGTTTTTTTTGGCATAAAAGTAAAAGACAATCTTAAAGATGCTTCCTATCACATTATTTTTCAATTGAGAATTCTCAGAAATCAACCTGGTAAGGTAAAAGAAATTGTGACTCCCTACATCCAGTTAGGAGCTTGGTATGAAAGTATTTTTATTTCTGTGTTATCCAGTAATAACGTAGAAGACCACTCATTTGCAGTAGAAACAAACGGGTTGTTAATATTAATATTCTTGGAGATGCAATTAGCATCTCCAAGAATATTAACATTAACAATGCAAATTAGACCAAGAAAAACACCTAAACTGAGCTTTTAGCGACAACACCTTAAGAGCTAGTTTTCTAGGAAAATAAAGATGTAAAAGAACCTGTTTTTACTTGCTTGCTTACTAAAGATAAGTTGTTATTGCTAAGATTGACACCTTTAATAATTCTTTTTGTTAAAATTCATGCCCAAAGTACTGAACATACTGTAAAAAAAGTGACAGTAGCATCTATGTCGGTAGTTGGACAGATGCAAGTGATAGATTTATTAGAGCTAGGGCTCAACGTACAGAGTTGTTACCTGTGTTTAAAACATAGAAAGAAATATTATTAGGCTTTTAATGCCTATAGACCTGAAAGATGTGTTGATTTATTTATTTATAGACCTGAAAGATGTGTTCATTTATTAGTTTATAGACCTGAAAGATGTGTTAATTTATTTATTTATAGACCTGAAAGATGTGTTAATTTATTTATTTATAGACCTGAAAGATGTGTTAATTTATTTATTTATAGACCTGAAAGATGTGTTAATTTATTTATTTATAGACCTGAAAGATGTGTTAATTTATTTATTTATAGACCTGAAAGATGTGTTAATTTATTTATTTATTTATAGACCTGAAAGATGCGTTCATTTATTTATTTATTTATAGACCTGAAAGATGTGTTCTTTTATTTAATGCTTTTTTAATAGTGTTTTAGTAGTCTTATTTAAATATCATTTGGGTAAGATAGGGGGGATACATTGTCTGTTTTTTGTTGAAACCACATTACTAACACTACTTCTTTCTAATTTCTAAAACAAACATCACCTCTTTATAATTTCTAAAACATTTCTTAACTATTACAAGCAAGTTTTTTATTCATTAAAACCTCATTCAAAATGTAATGACCCCCCTTCCTCCCACTGAAAATCTGCAGTGCAGATTCTGCACTTTTCAATGTCAAGTATCAAACAAAATTGCAATTTTCAAAATATATTATTTTCATTCAATTTTTTGTAAAATACAATGAAAGGCATACTATTTTTAAATGAAGTTTTACATAATTTTTTAATTTCTTAAAGTGCAAATTAAGGTATAAAAACTTCAATAGATTAAAATTTTTTTTTACATAAGAACATTTTCCGTCAGGGTTTTCCACATTTTCCATAACACATTTTCCAAAGCTTTTAAAATGAAAAAAAAAATTCTTGCTGTTGTTCAATCTTTATTCTGAAGCCTCTAAATTGGCTGTTTTCATAACCTAGTAATACTTCATGATATGTATTCTCAAGGAAATAAATGTATTTTATTATTTAAAAAAACATTAAAGTAAGTATAAACGGTATATTTTATTTTAACAAAACTGTCATGATTAGGGTCAATGTTAGGATAAGGGGTATGGGATTATTTTTTAATTTCCTAATCTAAATCATTCTCAACAAGTCTGCAAGAAAACACTATTTAGTTAAAGTTACTGGAAAACAGTTTACTATTTAGTTGGAGTTACTGGAGTCAAAAAAACAGTTGAAAGAAGACTTAGTTAAAGGTCAGGAAGAATGAAGAATGAAATCAGGAAGACATAAAGATGAGAGTGAGTTTCAAAGGTTTCAAATTGCAATGAAAAACTATATGAATAAAAAATTTTTAGAGCATGAAGGGACAGATACATTAAATAGATGCGTCTTGCTGAAAGACAAGTCAAGCAAGAATGAGTTTTACTTGATAGAATTAGAGATGATAACTCCTTTGAGTAGGGAGTAAAGTAATATATGTAAAAAGGAGAAAGAAATGCAACCTTATAATAATGGGAGAGTGGCTCAAGCTCAGCAGATAAAACTCCAAAATTATGGTTAAATTTGGTGTATATTCTTTATGTGTTCTTTAAATTCTAATTTCTTTCAAGTCTAATTTAAATGTGGTAGCAATAAAAATACTTAATTTGCTAAATTGTTTGGCACTAGATAGGCCATCCAGACCTCCTAATTGCATAAATTTTTTCATAATTTTATATTTAAGTAAAGAAAAATAACTTTATTGAAACCCATCTAAATCACACAAAATTGGAATCATAAGTGTTGGAAAAAAAAAAAATTATAAATATGCTGAAAAAATATACATATATGTATATTTTTCAGTATATATAATGTTGTAAATAGTATTATTGTTTAATCTAGACCTAACATAAATGTTTTAATAGATTATAGTTTTAATGTTTATAGTTACAAATTTTTATAAATTTGTTTCATCTATAAAGTGGTTTTAATAGATTATAGTTACAAATTTTTATAAATTTGTTTCTTCTATAAAGTGGTTTATTCATCTTAAAATTTAGTGCAAATTAAAGAAAAACATTTTCTAAAAAATTAGAAAAAATTAAAGTAATTATAAAGTGATTATTATACAAATAGATTTTTGAATCTAACTTAACTAAAAAAAAGAAATTTGTTTAATTTTAATTTAGCATTGAAAAGTTGTTGACACAAAAAGCTTTTGAAAGAATTGGTTTTCAAAACAAGGTTTTTTTTTATTTTTTTTTATGTTCTTTTTTAATATTTTGTTTCTTGTAAGAATTTTTATTTGTTTATAAGAATCTTTTTTATTTTTATTTATTTTTGAATAAAATATCTTTATTGCTTTCTAAGGATAATAAATTAGTGTCTCCGTTGCTTGTGCCTCTTGTGATTGTTGGAAGCAAATATGAACAATTTCAGGTTTTGGCTTATTTTTTAAAATACATTAATAATTTATACTATTATATTTTTATATTTGCTGCGACTGACTTTTTGCAAGAATGAATTACTTAGTTAAAGGGGGATTATTCAGCATCCTTTTACTTATGTTCTTGCATGCTCTAAAAACATTTATTTGTCTAGTGTTTTTTCCTGCTTTAGTTCTTTGGAACTATCTTCCATTTTCGTGTTTTCCTGACTCATACAACCTACAACTTTTTAAGTCTTCTGTCAACTGTTTTCTTACTCTCTGATTCTATTCTTTGTTTTCTTGTCTTCCTAACTTAATTAATTGCTTGCAGCCTTGTTAGGAGTGATTTAGATTTTAAAAAATTTTTATATTTGTATATTTATTTTAATATTTTTTTTATTAATGCTATTATTTTTATTGATTTTACAATTAGTAATATCAGTAATATGTAATAGAATAGCAATTACATTTTTTTGTCTTTTAAAACAAAAAGTTGAAGTTGAGATATGCCATGACAAAGATTTTTTATATGAAACATATTTTTTGAGGCAATATTTGAAGATATATTGTCTCAAAAAAGTTGAGATAAAAGGAAACATGCTAGTTAGTAAGTGACCGAGGCCCTGGCCCCAGCCCCGGCTAAAAATGAGATTTCTTGTAAACCTGGTCCTGGCAAAATTATAGCAATAGATTTAGCATGGTTTGATATTTGCCCCCGAAAATAACTGAGTTTAACATCAGACAGAACTTTTTTACATTGGTTTTTTGCAACAATAAAAGGACATTTGTTTTTAAGAGAGATGTTCTTGTAAATAAGATAAAAAAAAAATGTTTTTAATGAAGCAGCTGCTCAACATGGTGAAAAATGTTAAGTAGAATGAGGCTTGACCTAAAATTGAAGAGAAGTAACGAAAGCTTCTTAACTTTTATTCCAGAAGAAATAAAAGCTTCCACTTACACAGATGCACATTATGCATACATATTATGGATATAAACATATATGTTTACTATTTATTTAGATGCTGGCATACAGTATCTTTTCATTGTTATATAAACTTTAGTATTTATATGGTGTAGTAATTGCTGAAAGAGAAGATTATCTGATGGATGTGACTCAAGCGAGACAAGTAAAAGAGGCATAATCAGATTAGAAAAAAAGTATTGAACAACGTTTGTTAGAAAAGAATAAAGTAATTTAGGTATCAGCATGTAGAGAGGTAGCAGCTTTAGAAAAAAATGGTAGTGGAAGTAAGAAAACTTAAAGAGAGTGTCTTACATATTGTTATAATGAGCTTTAGTTAGGAAAAAAAAAATAGTAATGGAAGTAAGAAAACTTAAAGAGAGTGTCTTACATATTGTTATAATGAGCTTTAGTTAGGAAAAAAAAAGCTCTAGATTGTTTATATTAGAGAAACAGCATAAAAGAGGAAGACTAAAGCCTGATGATGATGATAATGATAATTATGATGCTCATCATCATCATCATCATCATGATTGTGATCATAATCATCAGGCTTTAGCCTTCCTCTTTTATGATGATGAAATGATTATGATCATGATGATAGTAATAATAATGTTGATTATGATGATCATGTTGATCATAATGATGTTTATATATGCATATATATACAAAATATAATATGAATTTTGAATTAAAAAAATATGCGTTAGGATGTATAAATGTTTATGCAGCCCAAGTCACAAACCCGGCCCGGCTATATTTTAACACACCTGCTCCCAGCCCCGGTTATATATCAACCCCGGTCACTTACTAATGCTAGTTTTAAAAAGTATATTTTTTCTGAAGGTCAAATTGTGAAAGTTGTTCATTATACCAATTTATTATTAAAACTTGGTATTGTAGCAGCTATGTTTAACAAGGTTTGTGTTTCTGAATTAACTAATAATAGAATTTATGCTTTAAAAATAGATATATATAATCTTCAAATGCAGATTAAAACATAAAATTTTTAGTTTTTGACATTTTTGGTCTAGGTGAAGAAAAATATTATTAATTTATTTACCACATTTAGAAACTCTATAGCAGAAAACATTTCGATAGTATTTAATTAAAAAAAAAAAATGGCGTGGTCTGTAAAATGAAGTGTAAAAATTTATTCAGTTATTTAATTAAATAACTTTATATATTTTTGAAAATAATCAATAAGTAATAAAGTTATTAACAGCTAACAAACTCAAAAATTACTTTACAAATAAGTACAGAAGTGATACAAGAAACAAAGGTTTAGTTTTAAAAATAATCATTTTTTAATTTTTATCAGCTTTTATTTATTTTGCTTCTTTTATTTTTTTAATAACTTAATTGTTATTAATTGCTGGCAACTGACATAATCCTCTTCAATTATTTGCTGACTCTGCACAATCCTCTTTAATTATTTGCTGACCTGCTTTCTTTATGACTTGTATGTTTTTTTTGTTTTTTTGTTTTGTTTTTATTGTTGGTTGTATTGTTGGTATTTTATCGTTACTTTACTTGCAGTTGACTCGAATTTCAGTAGATAATGTTTTGGAATGTTACCTTTGTTGCATAGGGAAAGTAGATCCTTTTTTTCAATGCACTAATGTCTCTTGGAGAATGATACTTTTGTTTTTGTAATTAAATCAGCTATTAATTTTATGTGGTCAGTGTGGTCAAATTTAACCATTTGCTTTGGTTAAATTTGATATTTTGATACCACTTGTTTTTAAATATTGTTAGATATGGTATGCTTTTGCATTTTTAAAATTTATTACATCATCATGAGTTAACACAGTACACATGTTTTTTTTTTTAAAAAAGCTTGTTTTATTACTGTTTCCTACTTCACGGGTGTTTTGATTGTTCTATTTCCATAATGCTTTTCAATTGTCGAAAGAAAAAAAATTTTTCTGGACACTTCCTGTAACAGTTCTTTTAAACATTGCTGTTTTTAATGCTTTGATATGTCTAAATAATTAAGAAACATGTGTGCACAGAGTGTGTGCACAGAGTAAGTGTGTGCACAGAGTATCAAGTATCTAGATTATAGACTATCTAGAGTATTAAGAAACATATGTGCACAGATATGCATTTCAAAAGCATTTTCCTGGTATGGTAAGCTGAAAAGTTGTGTGTAAATGCTTGGTTTCTGTTTCTTATTATTATATTATGCTCCATTTATCTACCTCATTTTGGTTCTTGTTCTGTAACCCTAACCTTTTGGTTCTTGCTCTGTAACCCTTGCATTATTTAATTGGTTTATCAATATGTTTCAGTAACTAATATTCACCAGTTTTATACATTATCATTCTGTAAGATGTTCAGCATACTAAAACAAGCATATCTCATCACGTCCTTTTTGCATTTCCTTACCCTGTACCTATCTCTTTATACCATCTTTATTTCCTTACCCTGTACCTATCTCTTTATGCCATTACCTCTTTTCTTTTATATGGACTAGTCTTTTTTAAATTAAAAAAAAACTTTGACCTGTGTTACTTTTCTTATGTTTTTAATTTATCGTAATGAGTTCTTCTTTCATTGGGATTTATCAGAGATTTATAGAGAGTCATAGTAAGTTCTTCAGTACCAGATTTGTGAAGTTCAAATATCATCATCACCAATTCGCAATAGCATATCCAACATATTTTGGTGTTTGAGATAACTTCCAGACATAAAGCAAACTCAATATATTTATATGATTATAGTTATGTTAAATGAGAATGCTTTGGAAAAAATATTTAAAAAATAATAATTGGAGTCTGGTAACAAAATAAATGAAAGTGTTTTCCCCCCTTCCTGACCCAAGTGTAAGAGTAACAAGTTGAAAAAATATTAGATTTTATGTGGTCATGATAGTCGAGGAAAATTTTTGAATTAGTTGATTGTGTATGTGTGTGTGTGTGTTTGTGTGTTTGTGTGTGCGGTGTATATACATATACACATATCTGTGTGTGTGATTTAATTTTTTTTTTTTAAAGCTGATGACTTCAGAAAAACGTCAAATGGTCTGCAAAGCACTCAGGTTTATTGCTTACACTAATGGAGCTTGTATTCAGGTTTTTTACAAATTGGTTTATTTTATTATAGTTAATAATGTAATTTTAGTTTATTTTCTATTTATGTTTTTCTTTAGTTTTTCAGCACAAAGACAGAAGGTTTAAATGGTAAACTAAAATCATTTTTGAATCAACTTATATCAAATGGTTTACAGTCAATAAGGTATTACTATATAGTTGTCAAAATATTTGAACCATGTTTATGTCTAAGCATCTCCTTGTCCAAAAGTTAACAAAAAGTTCAAAGCTATTTGTATTTTTTCATTTCATTTTTTTCTGTAAATTTGAATTTTATCAAAAATTAGTTTCAGTTTTAACTTTAAAGTGATTTAAATATTTTTTATAGAAAGATTTAAATTTTTACTTAGCCTATTTAAAGCATGGCAATAATAGAAAGTTTGAATGCTATATACTTGAAAGTAATATTGCTATTACTGATAAGTATTTAGCATACATACACTTTTATAGTATATAGCATACATTTGTATGCTATATACATGAAAGTAGTAATAAGTATGTATGCTATATACATGACATTAATCGAAAGTAGATTTAATTTTATTGCATGCAGCAAGTTGTGTTAAATATGCACACAGTTGCATTGAGTTAAATATATGCATGCAACTAGTTTTCTTTATTAATTTTATGGTTTAAGTTTTCTTAATAGAAATTTATCAATTCGTATACTTTTTTTTGTTGTGGACATATTTGCAATATTAATTTATTATTGTATTGAAACAATATTATAAATTTATATTATAAGATGTTAGCTGATTCAAATGACTGGAAATGGGTGAATTTGATTTAAATGACTAAAATTGATGTAATATAATTCTCAATATTTATTAGATTTAATATTGTTCTCAATTAGTTACATTTTTGCATTAGTTACAATTAGTTACATTTTTTACACTTAACATTATTTTTTACACTTAACATTATTTTTGGATACGAAGACATTTTTGTAATATTTTCAATAAGAAGACAATTTTGTAATATTTAAATTCTATTTAATGATTCATTTAGTAAAACACCTTCATTTGATATCAACAGACCTCTTTATGTGCCATTTGGTTGTGATTCATTAGAGCAAATAGGTATTTTTAGAATTTATTAATCAGTTCTTTTTATTTAATAGAATAAAAATATATAATTTAGTTATAATTAATTAAAGTAATTTAAATTAAATGACTCTTTTATTTTTCTTGACATCAAAACCTTTGGACAATTCTGGCGTGTTGGTCTTCTCCATAAGCTTACTTCATATGCATTCACTTTCGCAGGCTGATCATTTCATATTTTGTATCTGTGAAAATTTTGAGATTATTAAATCATTAATTAAATCAAATTTTTTTAACAACAGTAATAAAGTCATCCTTAAACTTTCTTTTTCATTTCCAGCAATTTCTTGGTACCACAAGGTTCTATCCTTGGTATTATTGATCTTGGTAGTATCTTATATTATTTCTTACATACATTAATGATTTTCCTGACAACCATATATTCAAAGTTCTATTTGCTAACAACTCAACTTTATACTCTTGTCTTGACTAAAAGTCTTTTCCTTTTGGTTGCTTAGAGCAGTTGAACAGTCAGCTAATTTTGAAATTAATCTCTCTACTGTAATAGTTTGGGGCTTGCGGTGGCTTGTAAATTTTAACTCTAACAAAACTCAGTTATTCCCTGCAAACAACACGATGTTGCTGATACTCCTATATTAATGAAGGATATCAGATTATCATTCATTATTGACCTTTCATTAAAATCATAAATACAATTCATTGCAAAGCTAGCATCGTCTAAGGTTGCTTCTCTTTATTGTTCTTGTCAGTATCTTACATACCCTGTATGGAATGCTGTTGTTATATTTAGGCTGGTACTTCTAATGATGCTCTTTTCACTTCTAGACAAGGTCTAAAAACACGTTGTAGAAGTTAAATTGTCAAAATTATGCTACTGTCCCATTGTTGTCAGGTTGTTATTCTCTTTCCTACAAATTTAATCTCACTGCTTAAACAAGCTATCATATCTGGTTCCATCAACCAAAACTAATTCTCACTTGTCATTCAGCAAAGTTGCATCATTTTACAATATCTGTCTCTTCATTCTTTATAGTTTTGTTGTTGGAGAAAAATTTTTTTAGAAGTCACTTCAAGAATCTTGAGAACCAATAAGATGTATTTTAAATTTCTATAAGTAGGTAATTTTTTTGCTGCAAGCAACAGCAATTGCATGTGCTAAGCATCGAACTCCTTGAGTCGAAAGACTATATTTTAAGTCACTTGCTTTATAAAATATCAATAAAAGTCAAGTACCTGAAAAGAAATGTAAAATTATCTTTATAAGAAAAAGTCTTACAATCATTAAAAGTATTTGTCTCAGTAGAAAATTTGGAAAAATTTTTTAAAATATTTTAGTTTCATATTTATGTCAACTTGTTTCTCTGTTCATCGGCCTTGTTTTTCAAAATGAGTGTTTTAAGAAAAAAAACGATTTTTATTTATCTGTGTTTTTTGTAAAATTGGGTTTAAAATTTTAAAAATTAAGTTTTAAAATTTAAAATTTTAAAAATTAAAAGTTTTTTGTAATCTTGAGTTGGTGCTAATGTTTTTCTCACTTTTTTACCTATATTCCACTTCTTGATAATGATGTCAAAGAGATAAAGTTTTGCTGTATAAATAGAAACCTTTTTGCATTATCTGATTGTGCTTCGGCTTTTTATTTTGTTTCCAGAACCAATCAAGTTTTACTAAAACAGCTGAAGTCACAAGAGTTCCATATGTGAATATGTGGGGATCATGATGTAACTTGGACCCCTATTATGCAATAGGGAACCAACCAATATTTATAATATTTCAATATTATAAATATTATTAAGGTCAGGTCAGGTTTTCCTGCTACTGGTAACATGTAACCCAGTACAACCTGCTCCATGTCCTGCTGCCTTGTAGGATACGCTTTTTTAGGCAAAAGCTAGGAGAAGTTAACTCCGAATTAAAACACCCCCTGCTATGGGGCTCTTGGTTGAGTAAAGGATAGAGATGGTGTCTCGATAAAAATACTCATCTTGGGCAGATGTTTCATGCATCCAGCTGCTGTCTTGTAGAAGGCCTCCTAGGCAAAGACTTAAGGGGTAAACAGATTCTATCTGTTGACCAGCTTCGCACCCCTTCCTCATCTATTAGGCTGGCGCAGATGTATTTTTAATACATTGTTTCCAGTTTAGGATGTTGAACGCTGGATCTTCTTGATTCAATGCGTGGGTATTGCTTGTGTCTCTATTTTTATGACTGGGCAACTCATTCTATTATCTCCTAATGAGGGTACAGCTCTAAAACTCAGTTTTATGGTTCTGAGGCCGGCTGGTAGTCAGGTTTCCCGAACTCTGTGGTAGCTCTCAGAGAGGCTGATTCCATCAACAGCCGAAAAATATCAGAGTACTAACAGTGCCATGTTGCGCATGGATGGTGTCCCTGTTTGTACTTTTGGTGTGCATTGCAGAGGCCACATTTGGAGCCCTTTGCTACTGCTTAGGGTTTATTAATAGTAATGAGGCTATTGCTTAGTTGTTAAATAGTGTACTGAGTACTATCTATACTTGAGTCAAGTTCTTTATAAATTTAAAATGACTAAAGTACCTAAAACTAATAAACACAAAAAACCATCGTCATCACCAAGTTCTCTAAACCTATCATTTACTAATATTCGTGGTCTTCGAAGTAACTTTTCTTCTGTTGAGTCTTATCTCTTGCAAAGTTCACCAGACCTACTTGCTCTTTGTGAGACTAATTTGAGTTCGGCTGTCCCATCTTGTGATCTTAGTGTTGATGGTTATCTTCCTTTAATTCGTAAAGACTCCAATAATCACATGCTTGGCCTGGGCATCTACATTCGTAAGAACTCACCCATTTGTCGTGAAACTAGGTTTGAATCTTCAGACTATTCATTTATGTGCTTTCGTTTAGCACAACTTCACTCTATCGCCTTTCTCTTTGTTCTATATCGCTCTCCTTCATCCCAAGATTGCACTATTCTTGATGTTATTTCTGATCAAATTGACCAAGCCCTCTCTCTTTATCCATCGGCCAATATCGTCGTTGTTGGTGACTTTAATGCCCATCACACCGATTGGCTTGGCTCTAGTGTCAGTGACTCTGCTGGCGTTAAGGCCCTCAACTTTTGCCTTTCTCAATCTCTAACTCAAATAGTCAACTTTCCAACTCATTTTCCAGACAACCCTAATCATTTACCTTCTCTACTCGACTTATGTCTTGCTTTGGATCCTAGTCAGTGCTCAATTTCTCCACATTCACCCTACTTACTTACGGTACTTCTGATCACGGTTTGATCTCTCTAAAACTATTATCAAATTCTTCTACTTCATCAGAATCCCCCTATCATCGTACCACATACAACTACCTTAAAGCTGACTGGGACTCTTTCCGTGATTTTCTTCGTGATGGCCCTTGGGTAGAAATCTTTCGTCTTCCTGCTGACAAATGTGCTTCTTACATAACTTCGTGGATTCAGGCTGGCATGGAATCTTTTATTCCCTCTCGACGATTCCAGGTCAAGCCTCACTCTTCTCCTTGGTTTTCCTCACATTGCGCTGCAGCAATTTCTAATTGAAACCGTTACTTCCATATCTATCAGCAAAACAATTCTCCAGAAAACAGACATCTGTTCACTATCACCAGAAACCATTGTAAAAAGGTTTTGTCTGACGCCAAAGCTTGCTATTCCCAGGTCATTAAATCTCGTATCTCATCACAAAAATTAGGCTCTCAAGACTTCTGGAGAATCTTTAACAGTATCAATAATAAGGGCAAATCTGTTATTCCTTCTCTCTTGTATGGTTCGACTTTGTCACCTCACCTAAAGACAAAGCTGAATTGTTTGCTAAGAACTTTTCATCAATATCATCTCTTGATTCCACTAGTTGCGTTTTACCTGACATAGCCGTCAAACAGGTTGATCCCTTGCTTGACATTCGCATCACTTCAGCTTCTGTATCTAAAGTAATTTCCTGCTTAGACTCTTCAACAGCTTGTGGTCCTGACAACATTCCTGTTGTAGTTTTGCAGAGGTGTTCTCCGGAGCTTTCATCCATACTTTCTAAACTATTTAACAAGTGCTTATCAGAGTCTTGTTTTCCATCATGCTGGAAAGCAGCATCTGTTATCCCTATTTTCAAAAATTCCGGAGAGCGATCTGATTCATCTAACTACCGCCCCATTAGTCTTCTTCCTGTCATAAGCAAGATTTTTGAATCTTTAATCAACAAACACTTAATCTCTCATCTTGAATCAAATTACTTACTTTCTGATCATCAATATGGATTTCGGTCTTCTCGTTCTACAGCTGATGTGCTAACAGTAATAACCGATAGGTTTTACCGTGCATTAGATAGAGGTGGAGAGGTTAAGGCTATCGCACTTGACATTTCTAAAGCTTTTGATAAAGTTTGGCATGCTGGTCTTCTCCATAAGCTTTCTTCTTATGGTGTAGCTGGTAACGTCTTTAAGATTATTGAGTCCTTTCTTTCCAATCGTAGTATAAAAGTTGTCCTCGATGGACAACACTCTTCTTCACATCCTGTAACTTCAGGGGTTCCTCAAGGTTCAATCCTTGGCCCTATACTCTTTTTAATTTACATTAACGATCTTCCAGATATTCTCACATCTAAGGTGGCATTATTCGCTGACAACACTACCATTTACTCTTGTCATGATAAGAAGCCTACACTCTCTGATTGCTTGGAGGGGGTATCTGAGCTTGAAAAGGATCTCACTTCTGCTACAGCATGGGGCTCACGGTGGCTGTTGAACTTTAATTCAGATAAAACTCAATTTTATTCGGCCAATCGTTATCGTAATAATTTAGATCTTCCTATATTTATGAATGGTAATGTACTAGATGAGTCATCTACCATTCATCTTCTAGGATTAACTCTTACTTCTGATCTTTCTTTTAAACCGTATATCAAATCCATTGCAAAATTAGCATCTGCTAAGGTTGCATCTCTTTATCGAGCTCGACACTTTCTTACTCCAGATTCTATTCTCTATCTCTATAAATCTCAAATCCATCCCTGTATGGAATACTGTTGCCACATCTGGGGCAGATCTTCTAATGATGCTCTTTCTCTTTTAGACAAGGTGCAAAAACGAATTGTATACATAGTTGGACCTGCTCTGGCAGCCAATCTCCAACCTTTGTCACATCATCGTAATGTTGATTCTCTTTCTCTTTTCTACAAATACTATAATGGGCACTGCTCTAAAGAGCTAGTGTCCCTTGTGCCATCTACTAAAATTCATTCTCGTGTTACTCGCCATTCAATTAAGTCTCATCCTTTTTCTGTGACTGTTCCTAAGTGCTTCAAAAACTCTTATTCTTCTAGTTTTTTTCCTCGAACATCAGTTCTTTGGAATTCGCTTCCTTCATCTTGCTTTCCTGATTCATATAATTTGCAATCTTTTAAGTCATCAGTCAATCGTTATCTTGCTCTACAGATTTAGTCTTTTCTCTTCCAGTAACTTCTAACTCTTATAGTGGTTGCTTGCAGCCTTGTTGGAAGTGAAGATGTTAAAAAAAAAATATATATATATATATATAATTAAGAAAAACAGTACACTGGCGGTTACTTTTAAATAAATATCTTAAATTGTACAATTGAATCATCCTACCGTCTATTGTTGATTTCTTTTTATTTGACCAGAAAAAATATTTTAAATAATTTTTCAAATATTTTTCAGAAAATTTTTTCAGAAATATTTTTCTGAAAATTTTGAAACCTTTTTAAGAATTGGTACAAGATTTTTAAATTCTTGAAATTCGTCATTAGTTAGAACAGCGCATAAAAAATGTTTATGTTTGGCCTTTCTCTAACATTGTATAGGCCCTCTAAATTTGAGGTTTGACTCACCATTGTTACCATTATAGCTTGCTAATAATGTGGTCACTTTTTAGGGATTGTTGTCTCATGCCAATTTTAATGCTCTGTTCTGTCAATAGTTTTCGACAGTTTTATATATCAATAGTTTTAGACAGTGTTCATCAAATGATCTATACACAAAAGATGAGTTTACACACAATAGATGAGTTTTTTGCAAAACACGATCAAGATGATCTTGTTTTGCGTCATCTTGTTTTGAGAAAGTTTTCCTGTTAGCATCTTCATCAGTAGTCATTGTAATGACTTTGGCATTAGTAAGCCCTGGAATAGCTTTTATTATATCTTCAACTTCTCTACAAATTATATGCACTAGCAACGATTTTAAGAGGAATTGAAGATATGATAGAATTTCTCTACAAATTTCTCTACAATTATTTTTATGCAACATGCAAGTGCTTCAAAAAAGTGAGGTATGGATCCCAAACTGAGGTATAGATCCCAAGTTGGTGAGGTCCAGTTATCTGTGGTGAATGAAACTTTGCTGCAATGCTTCATGTTTTATAATAAAATTTCAACTGATCAATTGCAACTTTTTATTTTTTTAAAAGAATGTCTCTTCATCACTATATTTTTTTTCTGCATGAAGCCACAACTCATTTCATGCATCAATTTTCAGCAATCTAAAGAAAAGGTTTGTCTAAAAAAATCATTAGTTTTTAATCGCATTGGAGTATTTTTTTTTCTTTCTTTAACTTATAATATAAAATGTATTTTTTTTTTTTGTTGTTTTCGGAGTTTACAAAGTTTTTTGGATTTTATCATCTTCAGACTTAGCTCTAGCATCTCTAATCAAATAAAAAAATTCTCGCCATCCCAAATCAACAAGTCGCAATTTGCAATTCACAATTTAGACAGTTTTAAATTTACAATTAAAAAGTCACAGTTAGCAATTTAGCTCAGTTGACACTGTTTTTATTTTACTGATCTTTTCAGCAATAAACATAAAAGCACATAGTATCAAACAAAGCAAATAAAACAAGACAAACAATGCAATTTTTAGAAATAACATTTTAATAATTACAAAATTTTTACACAAATTTTATAGAAGTTACGTAAAGATCAAAATTTTTTGAAAAAAGTATAAAATTAATTGAAAGGTTCATTATTTTTTTTACCATTACAATAAATTAAAAAATATGTTTTGTGTTATGACTCTTTGAGCACTTTAAACACTCTTAAATAATTGCAATTAAATTAATAAATGCAATTAAATTAGTAATTTCAATTTAATTTTAATTTATGGTTTTAGAGTTCACAAAAATAAAGCAAACATCTTATTCACAAAAATTATGGGTGACAATTAATGTGAAATAAAAATTTTTGTACTTTCTGTTTGTATATTAAGAACTATAGTTACTAAAATTTTTAGGTGCACCCCCAGTTTCGCCTGAGCAGCTAGCAAGATCAACCCAAAGGTTTTACTTTTATAGAGTTACTTTTTTGAAAATATTTATTTTCTAAATTACATTTTCATATATTTCAATTTTTAGTTCTCCAGTTGATTTATGGAAAGATACATACAAAGCATTTTTCCCTACAGAGGTGAATTTTATGTTGTTTACTAATCCATTGTTTAGGTTTTTATGTCTTTTTTAAATATAGATTTTTCAATCTTGTGTTTCCAATTAATTTATAAGAATTTTTTAATTATTTTTATTAAAAAATTTAACTTATCCTGTCAGTTTGTTTTTAATTAAAATTTATTTATTTTTATATTTACAAAAAATAAAAGCAGTATAGATATAGGAACATATAAGCATATCTAATGATCAAAATTATTTATTTTTTTACAATTGAGTGGGTCAGAAGCCAAGGGGTACAAGTGACAATTTTACCAAAATTAAGTTAAGTATAGAATTTGATAGAAGAAGCAAACAAAATTGTTGGGTGGCCAAGGGGTACAAGTGAATCTCTGCCCTGTGCTGCTTTCTACTGGAAAAACATAACAACAGCTGAGTATATTTAACAAAAATACTTTAACTTTTAACAGCTGTATCTCAAAACTATGAAAATGTCACTTGTACCCCTTGGCTTCTGACCCACTCAATTAAGAGTGTTGATAGAATTATTTGTCATGGAAAAATGTTTTAAAAAGCAATATTTTTTTAACTTTTTTAATACTAAAATAACTTTCATTTAGCTTTTGGTTTAGAGAAGATATAGAACAAAAAAGTTTAAGCATAAAATAGGAAAATACTAAACGTTTATTCTTAGTGTTTAAAAAAAATTATATTAATTTGTTAGATGTCTATAAATAAAAAAAAATTATTTGTTAGATTTTTATAAGTTAAAAAAATTAATTTGTTAGATGTCTTAAAATAAAAAAAATTAATATGTTAGATGTCTATAAATTAATTTGTTAGGCGTCTATAAATAAATAAAAATTTGTTAGATGTCTATAAATAGTCTTGATTCAATAAGTTTGGAGTTAATAAATTTTATTAATTCCAAAATTTTAAAATATCAAAATATTTTTAGAATGAAGACAAACTTAAAATACTTAATCCAGCGATTGATAAAAACTTTTCAGATATTACTATTGATAAACTTCGACTGCTTAAAGACCAGGTTAGCCACCAGTCTGTAGTTTTTTTATTGTTATTACTACTGTTAATAAATAGAGATTAAGCTTAAGCAGGATTATTATGTGATAACTATTACAATTTTAATTGACCATTTATTTCATTGAAAATTCATAAGCTTTTCATAAAATTATGCAGCTAAATTATTATTTTGTAATTTGGATCTTTTTTTTTTCTTTTTTTTTGTTGCTTCATTCCTCCTATAGAGTAGTCAATAGGCCGGGTGAATAAAAATGAGCAATTGTTTTTACTCAGTAATTGGTCAGCTTTACGCGAATAAAAACTTTAGCAATTTAGTTTTTATTTGCATAAAGCTGAACAATAACTGAGTAAATTGCTTAACTTTACTTGAATAAAAATTTGAACAAAACTGCTGAAGTTTTAATTAACATAAAGCTGCTTAATTACTAAGTTAAAGCAATTGCTCATTTTTATTTACCCTGCCTAATATTAAGAGTAGTCTTGTAATGTAAAAAACAATACATTTAAATTATATATAGTTGGTATTTTAATTTAATATACTTTTTATAGGAACTAGATCGTTACCGTAAATCCGGCGAACGGAAAGATAAAGAAGCCCAACTTAACGCTCGCGTGGGAAAAAAATAAATTCGAGTTGTAAATTTTTATTTGTAAATAAGCGAATTATAGTCTTTCAATAAAGTCTAAAAATTCTGTTTTTATCCCAAACATGAACTTTGGTTGTCTTCATTCCTTTTAAAATTTTATTTTACCTCAAGGATGATGCAAGACTACTTTAACCTTTTGAACTTTACTTTTGTGTGGGTGCAATTTTCGCGTGGGTAGAGCTTTAGTGTGGGTGGAGCTTTTGTGTTGGGGCAATTTTAGTGTGGGTGGAGCTTTTGCGCGAAGAATGTTAAAATATCCTGACTAATAAATGATTTCCTGTTATGAAAAAAAATAATAAGATTGCTTCAAAACTGACTAAAACTTTTTTACCTAATGTACTAAAATGGAGTGAAAATGGAGGGGAGGGGATAACCGCATGTGGAGGCACAACTGTTATTTAACATTTCCTTATGAAAAATATCTGATATGGCAACAAACGCACCATGCGTCTAATATAATAACAGTTTCACGCATTTCGATCAAAAAGAGTACCTGTTGCGTTTCTGAGAAGTTGTAGATAATATTGTTTTTTGATAAAAAAACATTTACATTATATTTTCAGACCTTTTTTTTGTGGATTAAGCAATATTTGGTTTTAGTATTAAACATGTGTTATCAGCGTTATTTCATCAAGTAAAAACCATTTTTGATATCAACATAATAAACAAAAATGGATTTTTGATCAGATCATGTCCAACTGTGTCTACAACTCGTTTTTGCACCTTGTCTAAAAGAGAAAGGGTATCATTAGAAGATCCGCCCCAGATATGGCAACAGTATTCTATACAAGACCGGATTTGAGATTTATAGAAATATAGGATAGAATTCAGAGTAAAAAAGTGTCGAGCTCGATAAAGAGATGCAACTTTAGCAGATGCCAATTTTCCAACGGATTTGATAAAAGGTTTCCAAGAAAAATCAGAAATAAGAGTTAATCCTAGAAGATGAAGGGTGATGAAGGGGATGATGAAAGATGAATGACTGATCGAGTACATTACCGTTCATAAATATAGGAAGGTCTAAATTATTGCGATAACGATTGGCTGAAAAAACTTGAGTTTTATCTGAATTAAAGTTCACCAGCCACTGTGAGCCCCATGCTGTAGCAGAAGTGAGATCCTTTTCAAGCTCAAATGCCCCCTGCAAGCAATCAGAGGGAGTTGGCTTCTTATCGTGACAAGAATAAATGGTAATATCATCAGCGAACAATGCCACCTCAAAAATCAATAATATAAAACAAATATGGTTAAAGGAAAGAAGTTCTCAAAAAGGATAAAGCTATGTGTCTTATAGCAATCAAGCCATCAAGTAAATTAAATGTAAATTTAAAAAGTATAGGGCCAAGGATTGAACCTTAAGAAACCCCTGAGGTTACAGAATAAGAAGAAGAGTGCTGTCCATCAAGGACAACTTTTATACTACGATTGGAACGGAAGGATTCAATAATCTTAAAAATGTTTCCAGATACACCGTAAGAAGAAAGCTTATGGAGAAGACCAGCATGCCAAACTTTATCAAACGCCTTAGAAATGTCAAGAGCGATGGCCTTTACCTCTTCACCTTTAACTAATGCGCAATAAAACCTATCGGTTATTACTGTTAGTAAGTTAGCCGTTGAACAAGAAGATCGAAATCCATATTGATGATCAGAAAGTAAGTTATTAAATTCAAGATGAGAGATTATATGATTGTTAATTAAAGATTCGAAAACCTTGCTTATGATAGGAAGAAGACTAATGGGAAGGTAGTTAGACATATCAGATCGCTCTCCAGAATTTTTAAAAATAGGGATAACAGATGCTGCTTTCTAGCAGTCTGGAAAACAAGACTTTGATTAGCACTTGTTGAATAGTTTTAAAAGGATTGACAACAGCTCCAGAAAGCACTTTTTCAAGATTATAACAGGTATGTTGTCCGGGTCGCAAGCTGTAGAAGAGTCTAAGCAGGAAATCACTTTAGATACTGAAGCTGGAGTGATACGGATGTCGAGCAATGAATCAACCTGTTTGACGGCTATATCAGGTAGAACGCAACTAGTGGAATCAAGAGATGATATTGATAAAAAGTCCTTAGCAAACAATTTAGCTTTGTCTTTAGGTGAGGTGACGAAATCTGAACCATACAAAAGAGGTGGAATTACAGACTTGTCCTTATTATTGATACTATTAAAGATTTTCCAGAAGTCACGAGAGCCTAATTTTTGAGATGAAATACGAGATTTCATGATCTGAGAATAGCAGATAAAATACATGAAGGAGGGGGGAATGAGTGTTTTTGTGATAACTCGTACGGAGTTTGTTACTAAAATAATACGATGTTATGACGAGGAGGTAGGGGTCTAAAATGGTTGCAAATTGCGTGACGTATGAGATTGGTTTGTTACGTCACGTTATTTGTTAATTACTTAAATTGTATTCGTGCGTTGGTTGCATTTAAACCTTAGTTTTTTACTTTAATTGTAAGTTTTTATTTAAAAAAATAACATTTTAAATTTGAAAGTATTTGAAAGTATTATAATGTCTTTTTTGTTGTAGCTTAAAGTTTATTTGTAATTTAACTGTAAAATTTAAACAATTTAACTGTAAAATTTTAAACAATTTAACTGAAAAATTTTAAACAATTTTAACTGTAAAATTTAAACAATTTAACTGTAAAATTTTAAACAATTTAACTGTAAAATACGAAAAATGTTGTAAAATAATCTTTTAAGCCAAACAGAACAAAGTGGTCGAAAATACTTTAAGTGCACATAAATTTCAGTTTAGTTTTATTACATATTTAACTTGCGTGATCTCCATTCCTTAAAGTATACACAATATTTTTTCTCTTTACGCTTGTGAATTTGTTACTTTAAAGTTACCAAGTTAGAAACAAACAAAAGGGATGGAATCGGATTGGCCTGGTTAATCAGATTGACTAAAAATAAAGAGTTTTTACATAGGTACTTCAGTCACGTGATTTTTTTGTATGACAAGTTTAGAATATAAATATTAACGAATTTTTCAGCAACTTTTTCGGGAATTATTTTAATTCTATCTAATTTCAAACCCAATTGCCAGTTTTATTTCAATGGCAAAAATTAAAAAAAAAATGTTGATCTGTAAAGATAATTCTCTAACATTTCTTAAAAAAGAAGCTAGAAGATTTTTTAAGTCGTTTTCAATATAGTTTATTATATTTAATCTTTTTGACAAGTACATATAATGTTTTAAATTGCTTTTTTTGGGTTCTAGCACAACAAAAAAGATTATTTAGCAATACTTGATATTTGTTTTTATAATAATTTGTTTTTTATATTTGGACTTAACTATTTAAAAAAAGATATTTTTCTTGACGCCATTATGGTACCCCGTTCAACCTACATAGCTAGTTCTTAAGAATTAACTGACCTGTTTTCCTGATCACATCCAAACATTTTTTTCAGGTTTTCCTGATTACATCCAAACATTTTGCGTTAGTAAATCTGAATTATCTGGCTGCGTCCTTATTCTGGCCAATTTTCAAATAAATCTTTAATGCTTGTCAAAAAAATCTTTAATGGTTGTGTTGATTGCTTTAAAGTAAAAATACAATATTTAGACTTTATGATTTATAAATATGCAGTTTAAAGTACTTATTGACTCGTTAAATACTTTGACAACATTTTTTTAAAATTTGATAAATATTATATTCTGTAAACTCGATGTTTGGTATTTTCAAAGTTTTCCTGATTACATCCAAACATTTTGCGTTAGTAAATCTTTTAAAGTGCTACTAATATTATCATATAATATTGTTAAAACTGTGTATGCATTTATGTTTATTTTGTATAACATTCAATAGTTCTTTTTTTTTGTGTGTATAATTCTGTATACAATATTATAACATACTTTCTAGCCATTATTATGATAAGTCTAAACTCTGGGCATGCATAAAATGCACAGTTTTTAAAATTAATCACATAAACTCCAAAATTTTATATGCATATACTTATGTCAAATAAGGATGCTTTGCAAAATGTTGCAATTATTGGAGTCTGGGAACAATAAAGCCCAAAATTTCGGCCACAACTACCCCAAACAAGAGAGCAACAAGTTGATAATAAATTTTTTATACTATTCTTAAATAAATATATATTCATTGATAATTTCTAAATTTCATACAATATTCTCTCAGTATTTAAAAATTATGACTATAAAAAGTTTGAGACCCCTCAATATGAGGGGTTTACAAATTTTATAAGGTCATAATTTTTAAACGCTTAGAGATTATTTTATGAAATTTATAATTTATCGATGAATATAAATTTATTTTAGAATAGTATAAAAATTACTTTATCTACTGGTTGCTCTTTGTGAAGACAAATTTGTATTGTTTTTGGCAGTTTAAGAGGTTTTTCAAACGTTTTGAATAGTTATGGCCTCTCAAACGTAGGGACCCAGTATGTTCGTACTTATTGCAATACTTGTTGCTACATCATGCTGCTCAACAACATATTTGACTTTAAGTTAAAAAACATTTTTTAATAACATTTGACTAGTTTTTCAATCTCAATCCTCTTGGTCTTATTTATTAGTTTTGCTTTGTTATTTTGCTTATTAGTTGCCTATAAGATAACCATAAGGATAAGTTTGAAAGTCTTTGTAAAACCTTGCTGTCATTCCAGTGTTAGTGTCACTATAAAAATACTTTAAAAATATTTACGTTAATAAATTTTTAGGAAGGGCTTGCAGTTTTGAAACTTCGCTTCAAATTTTCTATAATATCATTTTACCAAAAATGATGTTTTAGAAAACCATTTAGGTCATTGTTTAAACTATCTCAACCATGTGTGAAAGTACCATGTACATAAAAGTACATACATATGATTGTAATGTAAGACTACATGTATATGATATAATCATAGAAACATAGACATTTGTTTTTAGACAGTCATAACCATTTTATAATTAAATTTTCATGGTATGAAATATTATGAAATAATGAATCGATGGCATCAACAATTAAAGCAGTAAAAAAAAAGGGTTTTAGAGTAAGCAGGATGTAAAATGTTTGACATTTCAAGATGTTCGTTACAAGTTTGACTTTCTGGAGTAACGGAAATGGGAGCCAAACCTGGACACCCAACTATTTTAGATAAAGAAGAAGAAAAGAAATTATTTGATTTTGCATATAGTCGTGCAGCTTTAGGAATTGGATTTGGTTTATTGCAATTTCTAAAATATGCTAAAATTTTTGATTTAAAACATAAAAAATCATTCAAGTACAGAACTCCTACAGAAAAACAGGCGGAAGGTGGTGTGGGATCTGAAAAAACACAAAGATTTCAACTTAACATCAACCAGAAGGTACAGCAGCTATTAGGCAACAGTGTATGATTTGTAAAGTGTTGAAATATTTTTTTATTCTTAAAAACGTGTTAACGGAAGACAACCTACTTCAATATGGATGAGACTGGGATGCGATTTGATTATCGTCTTTGATAACCATAGAAATACAAGGCATTCCATTTCTATGGTTTACAAAGGCATTTCTTTCTAGAGAATTTGGAATTTTATAAATGTATATGAATTTGTTTACTCTTACAATATCAAAAAGCTCTCGTTCTTTAAAGTTTATTTTTTTGGTTTTTACAGAAATTTATTATGTGAATGCCTTCATCATTTACATTACAAACTGCTTCATGTCCTGATGCCTTGTAAGATAAGCTTTTTCAGGCAAAAGCTAAGAGAAGTCAACTCCGTCTTAAAATACCCCCTGCCTTAGGGCTCTTAATTGAGTAAAGGCTAGAGATGGTGTCTTGATAAAAATACTCATCTTGGGAAGATGTTAAATGCATCCGGCTATTCTCTTGTAGTAAACAGATTCTATTTATCAACCAGCCTCCAACTTCTTCTATATCTATTATTATTAAGCATGGCAGTACTATGAGATAAATCTCATAGTACATATCTAAATATACTATATATACTATAAGATCTCTATTACATCCATGTTTATATGAAGAAGATTTAATCTTTACATTAAAAAAAGAGTAATAAAGCGTGGTTGTTTTAAAAATTCTTATTTTGTTAATAAAATATTTAAAAAAATGATCATTATTATTTATATAGTATTAATATTATTACATGATATCAATATTTACTTAAAACATAATCTTCCGCTTTATTTTTAAGATTCGTTATTACTTTCTTTCTCACTACTTTCTTTACTATTTTCTTTTTTCTCTTCCTCCATTGAAACTTCTGTCTTATCATAGCAAATCTTTAGAGCGATCTCTGGTGTTAACAAATCGTGCTACTTTGCTTTCTCTAATCGCCAATTGTGCTATCCCTTTTGTCTTGGTGCCGGTGAAAACTTGAATAGTTGAAGCTATAAATACATTATATTAAAATAGTCACTATTTTTTTACTATAAAATTAACTCTATAATTAAAAATATTACATGATAGTTATGCTTAAACTTACAGGAATAAGAGAATGGTTTAAAAGAATGTTTAAGAGAATGTTCCATGATTATGTCATGGCCAATGAGAGAGGCTAGAGCAGACGAGGATTAATACCTGAGTCAAATAATGCTTTTTTGATATTGGATAATATTTTTCAACATTCACCCGAGGCCCAATGTACAATTCTTGTTTCTCGTTTGAGCAGTCTTTTAATTGCTTCAAAACAGTTTTCTATTTTTATTGCTGAATTTTTATTGCTTGGTCTTATAAAATCAATAGATTACAGAAGAATCTATAAAGATGAAACAATATTGTATGTATATATATATATATATATATATATATATATATATATATATATATATATATATATATATATTATATATATATATATATATATATATATATATATATATATATATATATATATATATATATATATATATATATATATATATATATATATATATAGTAGAAAATAAAACTACGTGATTTTCACAACTTTAAGTTTCATGCTGTTGCAATCATCAGGTGAAATACAAATATAGTTTGTTCGTTTAAAAAATTATATACAATTGAAACTATACAGAAAAAACCTATACGGAAAAAACTTTTTTTTATTGTTACGACCGGGTGTATTTAATCTTCAGGTTTGTGGTTGCTCAATAGAAATTCATTTTCGTGACGACACTTGGAGATTAACTCTGTTTTTTTATTGAGTAGCTCTTCAGCATTTTTATAAAGCAAAATAATCAGTTTTTCATATAAACATAGTAAACATTTTTTTGTTTCATTGTTGTAGGCGGGGGCTTTTTTTAGGATAGACCAAGTTAATTCTGGTGTTTCTTTAAGTTTTTCTCTAGTTTCACATATATGTTTTGAGAGAGTGGTTGCATTTGAAAGTTTCTTATTTGAAAATGATTGCTTGTGGTTTGCATACCTCTTTTTCCACACTCCTTCTGATAAACCAATGTATGCTTTGCTGGGAGTGTTTGGCGAAGATGTTATACATTTGTAAATGATGTTTGTCGCTCTACAATTTTTATTCAGCGGACAGATTTCTTTTTGCTTGCAATGGCAAGAAAGATTTTCAGTGGTGTTAATTAAATTTATTTTTTTGTTGTGGCAAACAAAATATATGTATATACAGAATTGTTTGCAGTAAATCTATAACAAACTCACCTTTTCAGCAAATTTTTCCAGGTAATCAAAATACTTATGTTTGCAATGAGTTCCAAAGCCATTGATATGTTAAACACCAGTGAAATGGATACTGTCCACTGTCTTGTAATTTGTAAAAAACTGTTCAGCTATGATTTTGCAAAACTCAATCCCTTAATAGGATCATCCTCAAACGCACCTTAATGTTTAACAGTATTACTATGAATTAACAGTATAACTATATAATAAATTAAAACACATCACAATTAACGAAAGAGTTAAGCAGTATAAAATTTTGTATTTAAGGTTTTTTCACACACAATTATAATAAACTATATACACGCCGATAATGTATTGTACTTACAACTAAGTAAATTTTAGGTATACCTAAAATTTTTACATATTTTTTTGATACTTTTAAATGTAAATATATTTGTTCACTCTGACAATTTGAAAAATCTCTTTTTATTTAACTAAAGTTAATTTTTACGGTTTTAACAGAGCTATTTGTACTCTTGGTCCAATTTGCTCTATAATGGGAAAACAGGTTCTGTGTATTTTTTCATATTTTCCTTATATTTATAAATAATTTGGTTCATTCTGACAGTTTGAAAAAGTTTTTTTTTTTTTTAAATTAACTTTTATTGTTTTTACAGAGCTTTAATTATTCTTAGCCCAATTGCCCTAAAAGGGGGAGCAAGCCTTAAGATTTTTATGTATTATCTTAATATTTATAAATGTAAATGACTTTGTCCACTCTGGCAGTTTGAAAAAGTTATTTTTTTTTTAACTAAAGTTAATTTTTACAGTTATAACTAAGCTTTTATAGCTTTAAACCCAGTTGTCCCAAATGGTGCAAACGAGCAGTAGGATCCTTACGAGCAGTGGGATTCCAGGGGCCCCTAATATGATAATAATAATTTGTAGAATTGAATGCTTTGATTCTTTATTAAAAAATAAAATAATAAAGATCATTTAGCATAATTTCTTCGATGAAACTCTTTTTCATTGATAGCATTTGAAAAATAAATTTATTTTCAAAATTTGGTGCCATAAATCTTAAGGAAAAGCTTAACTCAGCTTGTCGCAAAATTGGCATTATTAAGCTCATCATAACTTGGGAACCAATTATACAAATTTTAAAAATGAACTTACTCTGAAATGGTCTTTATTATCCGCGTACTTTGGTATTAATTATAGCCAGAGATAATGATAATAGTAAAATCGTGTGAAGTAGACAATTCTGCCTGAATTGTTTACCACACAGGTTGTCATTTAAGTGGTTTTCACGATGGTTTTTAAATTAGATGGGGCATGTCTAATAAAGTAATTTTACTTAAGCTCTCTGGAATTTTTCCTAATGCCCTTAAACTAGCAAAAGTAATCCCTATATTTAAATGTAATGAACATTTGGACATAACATGTGTGTAGAATCATTTACTATAAAAATAAACGTGAACATGCTAAACCTATAATGAACAATATGAAAATGATGGATGTTTTTGAAATATCTATCAGCATTTAATTTTTATGTATCAATTCAATAATAATATCTCTCCTTCTAACTTTAATAAATAAACATAAATGGCATGATGTTATTTTCACACGAATTATACATCGAACATAACGCCATTTACCCGTTATAAAACACGAAAACTGGCATTATGTTATCCGTTATGTTTGAAAACCTAATATAACTGGTAATATGTATATATATATATATATATATATATATATATATATATATATATATATATATATATATATATATATATATATATATATAATTAAAAAATTTATTTTAACAATTTGTGCATTGTTTATCAAATATCATGAACTTGCAATTTTGTTACTTTTATTTGATAAAGATTATATATATATATATATATATATATATATATATATATATATATATATATATATATATAAATTGTTAGTAGTTAAATAAATATTTATAAATTTTTTATAAAACAGTTTCCTATGGAAAATGACATTAACTGCATTGTATACTTATGGGAAAAAGGGTTGTTTTTTTGAAGAAATTCTAAAATACTGGCTCCTACGTAAATATTTACTCTGTTTAATGTTGAACTATTTAACAGAGTAAATACTCCCATAAATATATACCATGTACTTTAGATGTTATATATATATATATATATATATATATATATGTATATATATATATATATATATATATATATATATATATATATATATATATATATATATATATATATATATATATATATATATATATATATATATATATTTAGTTTGTAACCATTATAAATTATTCTATATAAAGTATCATGTAGTTTATAATCATGCATATATATATTTCAACCAAACTTTACTTTACTTCAATAAAAGTTCAACAGTTCATTGCACTTTTTTGATATAAAAATAAATTGTTCAAATCCACATATTTCTTGAAAAAAACCTAGCAACAGGCCAAAACAAGACGGATATGTTAAGTCCAATAAATAATATACGATGACTAAAACAACCACCATCTCACTGGTGCTGACTAATGGCTGAGTGTCTATCTCAAGACTGTGCTGACTCCTTATACCATACTCCTTGTGATTAAAAGTCACTTGGGGACCATAGGAACTTGGCACTCTTAAGTATTCTTCAATAGAATCACACTAAAAAAAGTTATTAATAATATAATAGTAAAATAATAATATTGCAAAAAAACAATTTGAAAGTTTTAAAAGTATACATTTCAGTTTAAAATCATTTTCATGAAAAGGAATTGGAACAACAAAAAAAAAAAAAGATACAGAAAAAAAAGGTATGCTATTTCATGGAAACATAGACATGTATGTTGTTTTTTGTATCAAAAATAAATTAAAATAAAATCAAAAAGTGATAAACTTACATCCACTTTCATAAACAATTTCTCACATGTCTTCTTGGAAACAAGTTTCTCCTGGAGCTTTAACAAATTCACAGTGTGGTTACCAGACTCAAGACAAATCCAACACAACATTGTTTGCATCTTGATTGTGGCACCCTTGAATTCAGCATGAAAACGAATTGTTTCCTCCAGCATTAGCATTATTATTGGAGCTAAACCAATTCTCTTTGGTATCACACTGTATGTTTCATTTTTAAATAGTTGTCTATTTAAAATGGACAAGGTTGGTTGTGAAGGCTTTTTTTTCTTTAATTCATTCTAAAATGAAAAACACTATTAAATTTTAAACATATAGAAAAGTAAAAAAAATACTCTAGTAAAAATCAAGTGAAAAATCTTTTACAAGAACATCTAAGTAATATATATATATATATATATATATATATATATATATATATATATATATATATATATATATATATATATATATATATATATATATATATATATATATATATATATATATATAACTTAAATCCATAAAAAACATTTTTCTTACTTCAACATCGTTTAATAGCTCCTCTTGATTAACAACCAATTCAGTCACAACAGGTTTAAGTTTTCTAGTATTATTTAAAACAGAAACTTGTGGGAGCCTTTTCACCTTTAAACTATGACTCTTGGTATACTGTCTTTGTTGATAATTGTTTGGCAACTTTTTAAATATGAGATTCTATCAAAAATATAATTTTTATGAAATAAAAGTAACAAAATTGCAAGTTCATGATATTTGACAAACAAACAATAATGCACAAATTGTTAAAATAAACTTTTTAATTTTGAAACTTACTTATTAATAATACATAATGCATAAATGATTCACTTTTGAAACCAAAAATTACATCAACTCCAAAAAAATGAAACCTTTAAATACAAAATTAATACTATCACTTTTAGTATGGACAAATTGGACCAAACAAATATAATATTAAACGTACTAGTACATTTTACTTACCCATCTTTGACCATAACAAGAATATAAGCCGAGACAAGTGGACTTCAACTTTGAAAAAAACATTTTATGCTGAAGAATTCGATTTTCTATGATAGCATGAGTTGGGATATGGGTGAAGCAAAACAATAACAAACAAGCCATTAATTCTCTGGCTACAATCTTATCTTCTACTACAGAGTTGCAACTAACAAGTTGTTTAATGTGTGGAGGAAAGTAATCAATGAGTTGTTGCTTAATTTCACCAACAAATGGAGTTCTATCAATCTAGTTAAATAAAAAATCGATCCGTCAATACCAATGATGGCACCGCCTATATAGAGGAATTCTTAATTTTAAATTTTATATATTTAAATCCCCCTAAGTAGTGGTAGTAAGATAATATAAATAGAATGCATAATTTTATAATATAAATATAATGCATAAATTCCCAGTATCACAAAATGATATAAAAAAGTTATTATATATATTATATATATATATATATATATATATATATATATATATATATATATATATATATATATATATATATATATATATATATATATATATATATATATATATATATATATATATATATATATATTTATATATATATATATATATATATATATATATATATATATATATATATATATATATATATATATATCCAGGGTGTTAGCCAGAAATAAGTTTATATATAATTTATAATGTATATGTATATAATAAGTATAAAATGATACAAAATAACATTTACAAACTAAGTCAAAAATAATTTGTGGCAATATTATTCGTTCAGTAAATTCTCTAAATAAGTTCATTAGAACTTTATGAATTAATCCCAGCCATGCATAGCTATTTAACTATAAATATTATCCTGGCAGTGCTGTGGATACAATATAGATGGTACCAGCCTCTTCAAAGTAAAATATGGGCTAAGGAAAAGGAATATTTTCTGGCAAAATAGGTGTTAAAGGAATAGTAACATTTTCAATGCCACTAAAAAAACTAAAAAAATCTCATTATATGCAACAGACTGGAGCTGTGTTGTAAAAAATAACTTTCTGTCTCCTTTGACTTGTATCTCCTTAATTATATAAATAAGAAATTGTGTACCGCTATGAAAAAATAAAATGACCCAATAGAATATTTAATACCATTAACTTGAATGCGGGAGATTACATTTTTCTTAAAAGTAACTTGATCTAATTCACAGAGAACTCCGTTGTTCAACTCGCCAGTAGAACTGTAAAAAGATGATACTGTATTTAAAATCATTTTCTTCAGGGCAGTGTATGGCATATTTTTAAAATTAAAATGTCTGATATTTTTAATTACTTGATGTTTTCTCTCAAATCCCATGCACATGTGGTATCGTAGAGGACCAAATTGTCTGGATTGATGTGGAAAATGTATTATAAAATGAAGCTTAGGTATAAATTTTTCTGGATACAATTCCATGAAAAGTGTATGATAAGCAGCTATCTTTTCCTCTAAGCAGAGTAAATAGGCATCAGTGGTGACAGGAGAAAGACATAGTTGAAGTATATGAAGAAGTTTAATTAAGCATATAAAATGAAGATCAGTTGCAGTAGTTTTTAAATTGGCAAAACACGACAAAGAGATAGCACCTGAGCACTTTCAAATTTTCCCTAAATCACTAAATCAACTATTTTAGGTGGTTTTTCACTGTCCTATGGATACTGAAAGCACTTTACAAAGTCATTTAGGCTAT